GGGGGGGGGGGGGCTGTATACGTTCTCGTCCTCCTACACCTCCTAGTTTCTCGTGTTCCTCATATCATGGACGGAGGCGGCTGCCGGCGCGGAGAGAGCCGAGTCGGAGAGAGGTTCTCCGGGAAAGAGGAGGAGGGGGAGAGGGGGCTGTGATGTACGAGGCGCGAGAGTAGGATGGGTCAGAGCCAGGAGAGGGAGGGAGGGAAGGCAGGAAGGAAGGGAGGGAGGGGGGAGGGGACGGAGGGGCAACAAGGCGACATTGGGATCATAAAAGCAGTGGTCGGGAATTTAGGTGGAGGGGACAGCGGGATTGTGCAGAAAGGAGAGACTTGCGAAAATCTCCCAGCACGTGGTCAGCTGGTGTGTGTGCGAACGTGCGTGGGTGCCTAGTTCTCTGAGTGAGTGTCTATGTGTTTGTGAGAGGGGGGGGGGGCAGAGAGGGAGTTTAGTCAAGCGAGTAAATATGTTGATACCTCTGCCTCCTCCGCCATCCCTCCGCACTGTAACGTGAATCACAGCCCCCAAAACAGTCCCCGTGAAAATAGTATATCAGTTGGGCGTGTCCCGGAAGAGCGAGGGGACTGCGCAGCAAAGGGTTTGGGGACGTCGGGGGCGTCGTCGGGCGGAGGACCTGTGTCGGCACCGCTATTAGAGGGGCGTCCGACAAGGCGCTGCCGCGCTTCCTGTTGAGCGTCTCTCTCTCTCTCTCTTTCTCCCTCCCTCCGCCGCAGAGGGGTAGAGGCGGTAGAGGGGCGCACTGATCGCTGCCGCTGCTTTCGCGCTCTCCCTGCTTCTCGGAGGCCAGTGCGCCAGTAAATCTCCCCCTGGCGAGCGGGATATATCCGCGCGTGCGACAGCGCGGCCCATGTCGGGGCGGGGAGTGCAGAGGAATTGGACTACACCGTCCTAGGTGGCGGTAATTTATACCACAGAGTTTCTTTGAATGCGCCGTGGTGTTGGGGGTTTGCCTGCTTCTTCGGCCGTAAGGTGCCATGGCGCCTAGTGGTTCTGCTTGGCGTGAAATCCCGCAAAGATTGGACTAAACGCTAGAGCGCTGGTGCGTGTGCAAAGAAGAAACATCCAGTATTGGCGGGATTGCAGACCCAGAAGAAGCACTGGGGGTAGCGGGGGCTGCTTCGACGCCCGCGTATTAGGCGGCATCTACACCCTCGTGCTGAGGGGTTGCCTATAGGGGGTTATGCAGCTGCGTAGCCCGCTCCACCCAGGATAGGTGTAAAGTCGTGGGAATCTTGGCCTAACTCAAACACTCCAGTACATCAGGCTATCAACACGACCTGCGTGTTGCACAAACTCACCTTAAACCAAACCCTAACCAGTGACCAGTCCGCGGAGCGTAAACATATTGAAGCAGCAGAAGGGCCCTTTGCCCCCGAGTGGCGGGGCGAGCCCTTCTGTTGCGTTTGGTGCGGCACGCGGTTAGTTTCGCGCCGCGCGAAATACCGACGGGTCAAAGCTTATTTGCAGGCCGTAAGATTAGCCCGATGTTGTATAACACTCGGGGCCCGGTGCGCAAGACGCAGAGCTGCGCGCCTGGCCAACCGGCCACAAACACACCTGTCATCGGACCAATGTGATTCCCCCCGCCGAGGTGGCCAATTCCTTTAGCCCGCCCCGCCCCGCCCCGCGCGCCCTCTGGGGAAACTAATGTATGTACTGAGAGGGGGAGAGCAGCGAGGGGGCGAGAGGTGAGAACCGTGGCGCGGGGCGTCGGCTCGGTCGGTGTGAAGACGGAGAGGCCCATTCTCCCCCATCATCGGCCTGTTTGCGTTTTATCGCACGCGGTGTCATAGGCGACTCCGTGGTGCCGTGCAGGACCGGGTGGTGGAAAAGACGTCATTCGCGGTCACAACATTTTGTGCGGAGGTGGGTGTTTTTATCACTCTTGTCTGTTGGCCCCTTGTCCATGCAGCTGGCAGCTCACGAGATAGAAAGCGATATTGGCGATATCATCCACAAACCCCAGAGTTTCTTTGGCTGGGGTAACTTTTTTCCACGCCTTTTTTTCGCGGTTGTCAAAGTACATTTCCATTCATGGATACATCTAGTCGACAACTTTGCTCGCCGTCAATGCACTAGATGTTCCACGAAGAGATAAGCGTGCACTTGCACTGTTTCTCATATGAAAATGAAACCATCACCATTTGTAGCAATGAACCCTGATCGGAGATGAGACATTTTCAATGCCACACTCCAGTGGCGAAGAGTCACTCATTGCCAACGCAGCTAGCGGCAATGATCATTGCCATATTTTGGCGATAAACAAAGGAAAAGTCGTGAGAGCTACCACCGTCATCGCCATCATCACCACATTTGGAGTTGAAATTAACTAATTTGACCCGGCCCGTTGCGGCCGAAGCCTAAGAAAGACAAGTTCTCGGAACAATAAAAATGTTTACAGAGCATTTCAGCCTTGGATGCAGAAGATGTACTTCCTAATCCAAGTGCATTAACTGCTCGCGTCGTGGCACTGTTATCGTCTCAAGTGTTCTCCATCATTCAAGTGCAAAATGGTCTTCATGGAGTGGAGGTAATAATATTGTCATTATTTCATCGCGAAACCACCCCGCCTGAGTTATTTAGTAATACTTTTCAAATGGATTGTAGCACCACTTTGCGTCGTAGCGGAATCTTGGTAGAGAGAGAGCCCGACCCAGTCCGCTGGGCGCGATGGTGACGAGGCAGCAGCGGCCGAGCCGGACTGGGACGTCCCGGTCCGGCCCTGGGCCCGTCACAAAATATTTACCAAGTCGCTAAAACTTCCCTCGCGCGCCGCGCGGCTCTACGGGAGCCGGGGGAGAAGAGGGACTCGGGAGCGGACAGGTGGATTAGGAGCAATCCAACAGACGAAATCATTTACATTACATTAAAAGCGCCCTCTCTGTCTCTCTCTAAGCTCCGAGACGCCAGGCGAGGACCGCAGCAGGAAGGGTCCATGTCACTACACTCGTCTCCATTTGATTTGTCTACTGCGCTTTAGAGTTCTTTGTTCCGCACAACGGACACAGCCCCCAGCAGACCCCGCACGCCCCCGATGCGCCCCGCTCCGCCCCCGCTCTGCCTCACCCGTTGTGTG